GGGCAAGCCCCCAACACTCCAATCCCATTTTCTTGGCAGGAGCATGGAGGGGAAAGGTGAGGGGGCTGCAAGTGGAAGTGGTGAGGAAGCCCCCCCCACACACACTTCCTCTAGCCCTGGGCCCACTAATTCACCTCGGCCAGTATACAGACTACTGTGAACAGTGTACAGGGGTCACCACTTAAAGGTCAATTTTATTAATAGTTACCATACAATGGTATTGAAGATGCAACGGTGTTTGTCTAATTGGAACAGTGGTAGTTGCGGTAACCTAGATAACCCAATAGAATATGTGTTGTTAGATACTGACTTAGCCAATATAGCACAATCTGGGCAATATCGTAGGGCTTTCGTTAGCCAGAAGTTCAGTTCAGTTAATCAGTCATACTGCTAACAACAGACAGAAGAACAGATTTATATACAGCTATTCTTTATATAGATTGGACCTAGTCTGGCACCCTCAGAACCTGACTTGTCCTGAATGAGAGGACTTGCTGGACCAGGGAAGGTCCCTCTCCTCCTGGTCTGTGCTGACACCAGATTAGGGCTCCAGCCCCTGCCCCCCGGGACTCTCTAGATGTTGCCGGTCCTGCTGCTGCCAGGGTGGAGCTCCACATCCTCCTGGTTCCATGGCCAGAGCTGCTCAGCTGGGGCAGAATTCAGCAGCTGCCTGGCTCCATGGCTGGGGCCAGAGCCACCTGGCTCCATAGCCGCTGCTGCCCGGTTTTTTACACACACACACACACACACACACTCTCTCTCTCTCTCTCCACACACACACACACACACTCTCTCTCTCTCTCTCCACACACACACACACACACTCTCTCTCTCTCTCTCCACACACACACACACACACACACTTGCCGGTGCCAGAACCATGGATGTTTCTGGACAAGGGAATCCCCGTAAAGGGAGATACGACCTGTATAATAAAACTTTTCTATATGTTTTCTAAATGTACTTCCATCGTGTAGTAGTCCTTAAAGCCCACTTTTCCTGGCAAGTCAGGAGGCAACCTTCTGCCATTGCAGCTATTGCTATTTCCTGAGACTACAGCAATCATTTCATATCTCCAAATGAGATTAAAACACGTACCTAAAAGCAATCACTTCACCAATTCAAAACAGTACAAAACTGTCATATTGCATGGCTCTCCCAACCATTCCTTAAAACAGGGCACTTTTTAAGTTGTCAACTATGATACATTTGATTGGAAATGAAGCAGTAAGAACAGAATACATTAACAAAGGACTAAGCAGGCAGTCATATTGCTACTCTGTACTGAAGAAGTAAAATCCTGTTTAATTGGTTAACTGGTTAAATAAATTAGTTAACGGTTAACCAATTAAAGGGAAGGCAAGTGGGGCATTGCTCTAAACTTGGAGCAACCCCTGTCCATGGTGGACCCCTTGCAGGGTTGGAGCAGCCCCCACCCGTTAACCTTAACAGGTAAGCCTCACCCATTAAGGGTGAAGCTAACTAATTAACCAGTTAAACAGTCATATCCATACTCTGTACCATTTTAGACTAAATACAACATTCTGGAAAAGATTTTCTTTATCAGAGAGGAGGGAATTCAAATGGGTTAAGAGAAAAGAGCAACAGCAGCTAAGTCCAAATTCAAGATCACATCTACATGTCTCATGTTTACTATAAAAGATAAGGTCAACTATCTTAGCATCTAAAGAACTTCATGTTCACTTTGCTACTTCTACTATAAAATAATTATTTTAGATTTTAAATGTTAGTGATTTCACTGCTTTGCAAAGCACATGTACTAGCTAAATGACATGGGGCTCTAATGGGCATTGAAAAAATTTGCATTGTTATTTTTTAATTAAATAAGCTATTTAAAGTTAAACATTTTAAATAGATTTTCCCCCTTCCCAACTATTTCCTTTCCTGAGCCTACTGTTTCAAGGAACAGCCATGTGAGTAACAAGTTCTCGTGATGTATACTTGCATTTTAGAATCCTGATAAGGCACAATTCCATCAGCTTAAGATAATACATTCAAATTTGCTCATCTTAATTTTTAAACCAAAGTTGTGTACTATACTCACACATACATGTGACCTGCAAACAAAGAAATACTTTTTACCATTTCACAAGAGTGGTTAAGAAAGTCAAGAATGGACTGCCATATCATTAGACTTAGCCTTTTTCCAAATTAAAAAAAATGCATATACAGGGCTATATATTCATATACCAAGGGCAGGCAAATTATGGCCCGTGGGTGCATCCAGCCCATCAGCCATTTTAATCCAGCCCCTGATCTCCCACTGGGGACTGAGGCTAGGGGCTTACCCTGCTCCATGTGTACTGTGGAAACTGCAGCTAATGGGAGCTGCAGGGGTGGTGCCTTTGGATGAGGAGAGGGAGGGCAGTGCACAAAGCCAACCTCAGGATATAAGGGGGGCTATACCTGAGGATATAAGGGGGGAAATGCCACTGCTTCCAGGAACTCCTGCATCCCAAACTCCTCATCCCCAGACCCACCCCAGAGCCTGCACTTCCAGTCAAAGCCTTCATACCCCCCTATCCTGCTCTCCAACCCTCTATCTACTCCAGCCCAGAGCCCCCTCCTATCCTCAGAATCACTCGGTTCCAGAGTCCCCACTCTCCCATCCCAAACCCCTTACACTTGGCCCCACAGAGCCCCCACACCACCCCTGCATTCCAACCTCCTGCCCCAACCTGGAGCCTGCACTCATAACCTCACTCCAAGTTTAATTTTGTGTGCATAAATGGCCCTTCATACAATTTCCATAACCTGATGTAGACTTTGGGCAAAACGTTTGCCCACCTCAGCTACATACTAATGGTACCACCTTATCTACAGTGAATCGAAATCAATGGGACTGTGTGCATGTAGCAGGATATGATTCAGTGTAAGCAAGGGTGAGGAATAAGATGTTGGTATTGTGGCTAGAACAAGCTGATTGGTACAGTAAAATTATTTTCTTTGACATAGTTTTCTAATTAAAAATGTACAGAAGAATTTAAAATGGGACCCCAAATTTTTCATTTTAATGCAAATTAAAATCTAATCCAAGTAGAATAATATAACACTGATCATGTGATCATCTTTAAAATCTTAATTTTTCCTATAAGTCTTAAAAAGCTAGCTCTCTTGTACTGCTATAATTAGGTAAGTATCTGCTATATAAAACTATATAAAAATCTCTATGTGCCAGAAATAAAGGCCCTGATCCTGCAAGGACTTATGCACATCCTTAGCTTTACACAATGTCAGCACTTCCATTAAAAAATAATTGGACTACTCATAGTACAGGTGAGCATGTGCATAAATCTTTGTAGGATCTGTACGTAATATACTATATCAGAAAGAAAAAAATAAAAAACAAAAGTATTCACAAATTACAATGTAATCATTGAAATAAAATGTAACTTTAAAACCACTATTCAGCCTATTTAGAAGTTTTCCATTATGTTTCAGTACCTACCAGTTGAGAACTCTGATTTGACTGTACTAGTTTAACCTGAGGAGGCTGCACTGTATTTGATAAAGAGACTGTGCAAATGTTGTTTGGTTGCTTTATTCCTACTGTCTGAGTTGTGACACTAGAGGAAATACTTCCAGAGGCAGGTTGAGGTATAACTTGTGATAGCTTGGTTTGTTGAAGCAGCTGCTGAGATGGCTGTCCTTGCAAAACCGAATGTTGGCTATTCAATAAAGACTGTCTCAATGCCGGCAGACTTTTCTGTATATAAAAAACAAAACAAAAAAGAAAGAAAGAATTGGGGGAAAAATCAAATTTACCAAATCATCAGAAAAAAGTCTGTTTTTGAAATGCATACATACGCTGGAAAGCATAAATCTTTAAAACCAGTAGTATGACCTGTCTAGCACTTCAAGAGAAATGAACCTATACATTTTAACATTATTCATATTTTATATGAAGAGAGAAAATTCAATCTGGATCCCATCACAAGTTACTGATTTTAAATTCTGTCAACATGGTGGACTAGATTATGATCTTTCCTAATCCCAACACACTGGGGAGTAAAATCCCCAAACCAGCAACCCATTAGGATTACCTAAAGCCTGGGTTTAGATCCTGGGAAGAGCAAAAAGTGCGTGGGGAAAAAGAAGGACAGGAATGAACTTCATTCACACTGCGTGCTGGCAGAAGTAAGCTGCATCCCTCCATGTACTACGGCAAGATACCTCTCCCCACAGAGTACTTAAAGCAAGAAGATTTAATTGTTGGTGTCTAAGGGTAACAGTTGTTTACCATATTATTACTGGTGTACTGTACTGACCATTAAAAAAGTGTGCTAGTGTGTGCTTTGTGTTCAGACAGGTTCAAAGTTCTAAAAGAGTACACTGTATTTTATGAATAAACTTTTTACTTTTAAAATAATCTTTTGAAGTGCTCCTCTAAACAGCTGCAGGCTTTTGCAGTGCTTACCCCAGGCTGTAGTCACTTTTAGCTTCTGTTTTTTATTTAAAAACGTAATTGTTGTTGCCAAGAAATGACTTCAAAGAAAGGAAAGAAGTTAAAACTTAAACAATTTTTGCAGAGATGGGTGAAGAAGGGAAGCAGGGAAGAGAGTAAGAAGAGTAACCAGTATCCTAGAAGATAAGAAAGGAAAAGAAAAGGAGCAGGGAAGGAAGAATTTAAAAATGAGAGAAAAAAATCTGCCTTAAATTGGCAGATTGCAAGTAGGGAGAAAAATAGAAAACCATGATAACTGGGATGTGGGTGAACAACAAAACATATGTTTTACATATAAGAGCTAATGTTGAGCATCAACGCACCAAATTCTGCTTGCTATCCTCTCATAAGCAAGCAGCTAGAAGTCAATGTTTTAAATATGGAAGACAAGCAAAATTTAACTGCATGTGCTAATTTTAGAGTACAACAATCAATCACATGAGATACCACATTTTATATTTCCCCAGATGTTCCTTGTTATAGGTGAGTCTTGCCCATATTCCAGAGAAGCTTTAAGTAAATACAGTTACCTATCTTTCATAACTGTTGTTCTTCGAGATGTGTTGCTTATGTCCATTCCAATAGGAGTGTGCGTGTGCACCGCATACATGGTTGTTGGAGGGTTTTTCCCACATAGGTGCCTGTCGGGTCGGCAGGGAGGCCCCTTGGGGTGGCACATTCATGCTGCAGAATATAGGGTTCTGCCAATTCCCAGCCCCTTCAGTTCCTTCCTGACGAAATACTCCAACAGAGGGGAGGCAGGTGGGATTTGGATTGGACATGAGCAACACATCTCGAAGAACAGTTACAAAAAGTAGGTAACTGGTTTTTCCTCTTCAAGCGATTGCTCATGTGCATTCCAACTGGTGACTCCCAAACAGTTTACCTGGAGAAGGGATCAGAAGTCACTGAGCTGCTGCCTGAAAAACTGCTCTACCAAACACTGCGTCATTCCTTCTCTGTTAAGTGTTGGCATAGTGCAAAGTGAAGGTGTGAAAAAACAACCACATCACTGCCCTGCAAATGTCCTGAATGGGGATTTGTGAGAGTAATGCTGCCAAGGATGCTGTGCTCTTGTGGAATGAGCTATGAATACTGGGCCTGGGACCTTCACCAGGTCATAGCAGGTTTTGATGCACAGTGTAATTTATGATGAGAGGCATTGGGATGGAAAGCCCCTTCATTTTTTCAGCTATCACAATAAAGAGCTATGGTGACTTACAAAAGGCTGTGTGTATTCAATATAAAATGCTACAATGCATCCGATGTTTAATGAATGAAGAGCCCACTTCTTAGAGCTGGTGTGCAGCTTTGGGAAGAAAACTGGCAGGAAAATGTCCTGGTTTCTATGGAAATGGGAGACCACCTTGGGCAGAAATGCAGGGTTTGAGTAGAACTCCTCTTTGTCTTTGTAGAAGACAGTGTACAGAGGCTCGAAAGTAAAGGCCCGAGCTCAGAGACCCATCTGGCTGAAGTTATATCCACTAGAAAGGCCACCATCCAGGACAGATAGGACAAGGAAAAAGGTGCAAGGGGCTCAAAGTATGAGCCCATGAGTTAAGACAGGAGCAGGTTGAGATCCCATTCAGGAATAAAGTGTCTGACCTGGAATACAGCCTTTTCAGACCTTTGAGGAAGCATCCTACCATGGGGTTGGCACTATGAGAATGTTCACCACCTTGTCCTACCAGGTATTGAGAAGGACTTTGTGTACAAGTGGGAAGGTGGGAATGTGTAGAACAGGTGTTTGGACCATGAGATGTGGAATGCATCTTCCATGGAACCGTGACCGTGGTTTCAAAGAAGTAGAACTGGTGACACTTCCTATTACACCTTGCAGCAAATAGGTCCATATGGGGATTACCCCACCTCTGGAAGATAGAGGGTGCAATATCTGCCCTGGGGAACCATTCATGGGTATTGAAGAAACTGCTGAGGTGATTGGATAGGTTGTTCTGTGCCCCTGACAAATAGAAAGCCTGCAGGTGGTTGTGGTGCTCTATACAAAAGTTCCACAGGAAGGGCTTCTAGGCAAAGAGGAGAGGGGCAAGCATCACCCTGTCTGCTTATATATTACATGCTGCAGTGTTGTCTGTCAAAACTGTGATGCACCTGACCAGTAATTGGGGAGAAAAGGTCTAGCAAGCAAGGTGAACCACCCTGAGCTCTCCGACACTGGTGTGCGGTGAAGGTTATGATGGCAACCAGAGTACCCAAGTTCTGGGCTGGGGTTTGCATCTGGATGTAGAATGTACCCAGAATGTACTCCCACACAGACTTCCTGAGGCGTTGGAGAACTGAGATGGAGTGACCAGAATGTCCAGTGGGTCTCTGTTGGGCTTCTACACTCTGGCGAACCAAGTGTGTAGAGGGTGAAGGTGCAGCCTGGTGTGCTTCACAACAAATGTGCAGGCTGCCATGAACATGAGTAGACTCGGGCAGTTCTTGCCATGTTGGTGGGTAACTTTTGGAGACTGCCAATGAGATCATTGATTGCATGAAAGCGGGAGTCAAGGAAGGTATGCTCTTGCACACATAGAGTCCAGGAGGGCCTCGATTAACTTTATCTTTTGTGTCAGGACCATCTTGGATTTGGGTACATTCAGAATAAGCCCCTGTTCAGTGAATGTTACTCAAATCAGTGCCACGTGATAGAGAACTTGCTCCTGCACATGGCCCTTGATGAGACCAGTCATCGAGGTACAGGAAGCCTGGTACCTGAAGTCTGCGTAGAAAAGCTGCCACTAGTGCCATGTACTGTGTGAATACGGATAGGGCTGTGGAGAGCACAGTGAATTGATAATGGTGACTATCAATGATGAATCTCAGGAACCTCCTGTGTGTTAGTATGACTGATATGTCCTTCAAATTGAAAACAATGTATCAGTTCCCCGTATCTAAGGAGGGTATGATCATGGCCAAAGAGACCATAAAAAACCTGAACCTTCTTATGAATGCTTTGAGATTTTGCAGGTCCAGAAAGGGCCTGAGTCCACTCTTAGCCTTGAGGATAGAAACATATCTGAAACAGAAACCCCTGTCTCAATACACCTGAATAAGGAGCTGCTTGTGAGAAGGGTCCCTGAAGAGGAACGGGGCAACATGGGTGATAGGAGGGCAGGGAATTGGATAGAATATCCCATCTCTACTGCGCTCATTATCCAGCAATTTGTGGTAATCTGAGACAAGGCATGGTAGAAGTGGGATAGATGATTCCAAAAGGGAGAACAAATATCTGGGATGTGGGTTGGTGCTCCACCCTCAGGTACATCTTCAAAAGCTCGCCCTGGGGCTCCAGGGCTGTTTCGAACGACCCAAGTCTTAGCCTGTGGAAGACTGAAAGGACCACTCCCACTAATTGTTTCTGCCCTGCCTGAGAGTATAGTCCTCCTAGGGAGACCAGGGAAGAAACATCCAGGAGGCTGCATCTTAAAGTGTTTCCTTAGATGCACTTGCATATGAATACCAAGTGATTTGTGAGTAGCCCAGGAGTCCTTCAGACAGTGCAGCCCATATTGGAAGCATCTGTTACAAGCTGGATTGACAGAGGACGACGGAGAATCGGCATCCCCTTGAGCACCGCCTCCTCGCACAGCCACCAGTCGAGGGAGCTCAGCACGTCTGCAGGCATTGTCACCAACGTGTCCACGTGCTGCAAAGCAGAGTTGTGGGACCGTGCCAGCCACAGTAACCTTGGTCTGGTCAACCTCACCACGTAGGTACAGGCCACCATGAAACCCAGCAGCCTCATGCAACAGCCAGCAGTCACGGTGGGAAATGACTGGAGCCGTAATATGGTCTCTTTCGGCATCGAGAAGCGCTCTCTGGGAAGGAAGGCCCTTGCCCTTGTCAGGTCCAGGAAAGCTCCCACGAATTCTATTGTTTGGGTGGGGAACAGGGTGGATTTGGCCTCGTTCAGTATAAAGCTCAGCCTCAGGCAGGTGTTCCTTATAAGAGTTATATGGCTGACAACCGGCGATGGGGGAGAGCCCTTGACCAGCCAATCATCCAGATATAGATAAATCTGGACCCGACACTTCCTCAAGAAAGTGGCCACCACTGCCATACACTTCGTAAAAACCCCAGGGGCCATGGAGAAGCCAAAGGGCAGGGCCATAAACTGATAATGGTCGCAGCCCACCACGAAGCGGAGGAACTGCCTGTGTACAAGTGCGATAAAGACGCCTATTTTTACTTCTCTGAGATCGAGGGCAGTGTACCCATCTTCTAAAGCTAGAGAGGGAATGATGGAGGCCAGGGTC